AATACTTATCACTGATCATGCAAATTTTGCAGTGCTCATTGAAAAAGAAGTATATATATCATATACTATGCATCGACAGGTACAGGTACAAATAAGTTTCTACGATGTATATAGATATTTATATTTTATAATAGACGCTAAACATGAATACACTATTAGCACATAGTATAAAAATATATTGTACCGTACTCTGGATCAATCATGTATGTGATAAATAATTTACTTACGTCGTACTCAAACCAAGCGAAAAATATATATTTATAACTAATGTACTCTACGCGAAAAACATCTATACTAGATTTACACGGTTCGAGCAAAAACAGCCAGACACCACATATATAACTACGTTAAGCTATTACACACAAGTATATATCATTGTATGTCTTATAAATACATTCGGTATAGTGCAACAAGTATCTGTTACTAAATATTCGAAAAATCACGTTTAGCCATTTAAACTGTATGTAATAAACAGTAAAACGGCACAACTCTGACTTCGTGCGCTGCAAGTGCATATGCATGACAGATAAATTTCTGAGCATGGAGCACAAAGCACTGATACTGCTTTTTCCATGTAAAGCGTAAGAACAGACAGTGTATCATGAAGTAGGTGCCGCTTCGATGCACTGCGTGCTCTAAGTTTTAATGCAACTTTGAATTTTTAAATGGTCCCACAGGACTTAAAAATTAATAGGCGGTGCCCAGTTTACAAATCAAAATGTATGCATACTGTTATCTAACGGGCCAGAAGAGTCTTGCTGTAAAACGGCGAACCCGCATGACAATCCTGGCATCCGGTCATCCTATGGTACCTATACACATAAATCTGCACACTACTTCAATTTAGGAGGCAGGAATGAGCCAAGCACGAAATTACATGTGAGTATGTGATGCTCTGAAGACTCCGCCAAACGCGACTTTCTATTGAGCGGCATCGTTCAGCCATTACAGGAACGCATGTTGAACAATACAATGGTAGCAAATGGACGTGAATCAACACTGGTCATGCAGAAACTTCAAAAATGAGTCATCCAACACTGCAAAATAAAAACTACAGATTCTGCGCTGTTTATTTTTTAAGTAATGCCTTTATTGAGTTAGTATTGCACGTTTTGACTGTACATGTTCGCATAAAACTCTGACCGACAATGACGCGTCATCATCAAAAAACGTCAGCGAAAATTAGTTCATTTAGATATGTGTCTGAACAATA